CGCCTCCCCGCGGGGAGGCGGAGCGGCCGGGGGGTGCAGCGCCCCCTGCCGCGTCGGCGGAGCGTCAGCAGCAGGAGCCTGTCCCGGACGGGCGGCGGGGAAGGGGGCGGGTCGTAAAGAAGAGACGGGGCATGCAATTGAAATTGAAATTGAAATCGAAGGCGGGGGCACGGCAGGACCAGCGGGCGACGCCTCCGGGCTGCAGCTTGTTTCTTGCATCTGACCCCAAGGAGTTCCGTTTATCGACCTCTTTGTGCTCCTGGATTGTTTGTGATGTGCCGCTCAAACCCCTGGGCTTAGGATCCGGGGTTGTGGGGGGGTGTTGCGGCTCGCAAAGCGGGCTCAGCAGAGCGTTCCTTTCCCCTAATCGTACTCCTCAAGCAGAACATTTAGGATAGGAAAAAGGGGTGCCTGGTGCAGGGAGCGGGATTCCTTCGGTGCGGTTTGCGCTCTCAGCAAGAGCGGGGCTGAACCCCGCGCAAAAGCCTTCCCGGCTCGTGGTCTTTGGGGGGCAGCAGCAGGGCAGGTCGAGACGCTCTTCTTCCCGGAGGAGGGGATTTCACGCTCCCGAAACTCTGCGGCCCCTCTTGGAAGCGCGCCGGGCCGGCTCGGGGCTCCCGCAGCCGAGCGGTGGGAACGTCTCGCCCACCTGCGGGAACCGTTCCGCGCAAAGTCAGCCGTGGCCAAGAGCGAGCGCCGGAATGATTCGTTGGATTTATCACCGCAGATACGTACACCTAAGGAACATTTACAGAAATATGCATTGCGCGCAAGATAGCCTTTCAAGACGGCAGGCACAGAATTGTTCCACTTTCTGGATCAATCAATCGGGCAAGGACTTTTAGGATACTGATTGCCCTGCACGATGACAGCACCAATCCTGCATCCTGCTGTCTGAAAGGTAAAGCCACATCCCCCAGTTGGAAGCCTGCACGCACTAGATAAGGCAGCATCTTTTGCAACATCCTTTATAACAGAACCATCTCATCTCTGCGATTGTGCATTAAACCAGGCAGGAGATGCGGTCAGAAAGCAATAGACCAGTGTTTCTCAACCTCAGCAACTTTTAAG